CCTCTTAACATCCTTGATTTGTCATTATGAGTTCACAGCCATGTGAGTGATGTTATTAGGAGTGATCACAGTCAATCTGACGGCAGTAGGTATGAAAGATATTAATAGAAATGATGTTAATTCAGCCAGCACACATACCTCTATTTGCTTCCTGTTTTCGGTCGAAGCCCACAGTAGTCGATTGCCGAGTTCACGCGTGCGATCATTAGTGAATATCATCTCAAACCTGCTCCGTGTGTTCAACATCTGATTCGGATGAACTATCTATTTGAGCTGATATTCTCAGAACACCACACAGTGTTGGGTTTGAGATGATATTCTCTAATGATCGTGCATGTGAACTCGACAATCGAATACTGTGGGCTTCGACCGAAAACAGGAAGCAAATAGACAGGTATGTGCGCTGGCTGAATTAACATCATTTTTAATATTCTGGTGTCCTTGGGGTCATTGTTCTGTTTTAAAACTAAAAGCCAAGCTTTAGATGTTGGACAGATGGCCTCATATTTGTTCCTAGAATATATTGTTATACAGAGGAGTTCATGGTGGACTCTATGACTGGAAGCAGTCCAGATCCTGTGGCTTCAAAACAAGCCTAAATTATCACCCCTCCACCAACAGGCTTGATGTCTCATAATTATATTTGGGGCTTTTTGTGATACATTTGGTTAGGACTGTGCTGGAAATAGCATTGAGCATTATGCCCAAACACCTTCTCTTTGGTCCCTACTGCGCAAATGACATTTTATTTCTATGACTTTGCATCTTTATATATATAAACTTGTGGAAATAATACTCCATTTTTACCATCAAAATTCCTCAAACACTGAACCCACACTGGGTTGCAGCAATTTCATACACACAGCTGGACAGAAAAAAGTGGAAAACATATAACGCATTTCATTTAAAGTAACATTTTCACAGATGAACATTACATGAAAATGTGAAAACAGGGTTGAACCAGACCACAATCATCAAATCTCTAGTAAAAACACAGCAATATTTTGGATGATCTGGCCTTTATATTAAACTCATGTTGTTGTTGTTTTTTCTTTTCCTAATATATATAATGTAATTCTAATCAGGAATTATTATTCATTTAATCAATTATGAGATTCATAATTTCATACGCAAGATGCCGTCTTGTGGCAGAAATAGTTTCAAAGTGGAAGAAAGCCCAATGAGAAATGGGTTCTTTTTATCTAGTTCTTGGTTTTAATGACCACAGCACCACTCTGTGGTAGCCTGCTGAATGTCATTTACAAGCTCTTATTCACAACTGTTTTAGGCTTTGGACAAAAAAAAAGCAATAACAAAAGAATTAGAGAAAATAAACACAAAATAAATACAGATTTATTATGGATCAAAAGGCAGGTCCATGATGTTTGTCCTGACATGTTCTTCTGGCTGAAATCTTAAGCAGCAAGATTAAAAAAAATAAACAGTGAACTTTGGCAGGCCTACAGACCACTGTAAAAGCCATCTGAATAACATGATTCCCCCACTCCAACCTTGAAGCACTGCCCACTACTACAGACTTTAGTTTATAACTTAAATCCTTTGGAGAAGCCATTTTATCGTCAATTTATTAACCTCAGGTTAAGTTCAGTTTTGAATCTCTGCCCAACAGAGATTATGCAAATTTCTCAATTTCATTTCTCAAAAAGCAGCAATATTTAAAAAGTATATTAGAAGTTCCAAAATTGCATACAGCATCAACTATAATCACTTTTAAAAGTCCCCAAATTTTAGCTACACAGTGAATGCCTTTTTCACTACACAGTGAAAAAAAAAAAGTCACTAAGATACATCAACTGAATCTTAACCAATTTGGTACACAGAAAAACCCTAGATGGCACACTTTACCAAGTTAAATACTCAACTAGCATGAGATATCCTTTAAAATGTTGCATAAAACCCACACTGTAAAAAATATTTTCAAGATTTGTTATCACAACACATTTTCTTTTGTCAAATCAACTTTATAATAATTTATTTAGTTGAGATAACGTATTATTTTGAGTTTCTGGTTACTCTACTTCATTGCATTAACTCACTTTTTCCAGTTCAATCAACTTAAAATTTGAAGGCAACCCAGGTTACATACTTTAAGTTAAACCAACAATATTTTTTTACATTGTAGTAGTCACAACATTTTTTCTTTTGTCAGATCAACTTAAATAATATATTTAGTTCAGAAAACATAATTTTGAGTTTCTGATTAAATTAATCTCCTTCATTGAATTAACTCACTTTCTCCAGTTCAATGAACTTTGAATTTTAAGGCAACCAGGTTACTTACTTTAAGTTAAACCATCAATATTTTTACAGTTCACAAGAAAAAAAAAAACTTTATCATAACATTTATTAAATGACTATTCTGGAAGACATACATAGCATTACGATACCGTTTTTCTAGAGTCCCTTGGCGCTTGGCGGAGTAGTAGCGGCTTGAAGAATGGTTGCTTGTTTAGCTGGACACCTGACCCAGATTTACGGAGAGCCTGTGCAGTCTGTGGGATACCAGAGAACATACCAACAGAAGATGTTTGGGAACTAGAGCCTAAAGATGGAGCTCTGTTGGAACCTGTGAGGTGCTGCAAGGTCACAAAACGCTCAGATACTTTCTCACGGATTGGAGCATCAGATGAACGTCTAGAAGTTCTCTCAACTACACCAAGGAGACCCTGGGTTCGCCGAGAGTCTGAGCTATACAGGCCATTTGACCTCTGATTACTGGTAGACTGACTAGAAACAGCTAGGGGAGGGTAACCAAGTTTGGCATATGCATGGGATCCAGGAACATACTTGCTAGAGGGGCTTTGAGAAAGGCCACCATAACTTCTGCTACCATCCTGTGCTGAAACAAACCGTCCAAAATCTCCTGATGAGCCTCTTGCTGAAGACAGGGAAGAGAACTTACTCTGCATTGGAGAGCTTTGAGACAGAGAGCTAACCTGTGATACACTTGAAGTCTGAATAACTCCGGAAGGCTGCCACCTTTGGGGCTTCTGGCTTTGGGACATAAAATAGCTCTGAAACTCTTGGTTGGACTGTCTGGCAACATCTTGGGGTGATGATGACAGCACACAATGACATTTATAGGATGCAGATGCAGGGGCAAACTGACTTGTGATACCCTGTGGCTGGAATGATCCACCAGAAGTAGTGCTTCCCCGAGTAGAGGACCCGGACCGTGAGCCATAGCTAGAGGTAAACTGCTTCTGTGAACTCTGGACTCTAGCAGACACACTGGCAACATCTTGGGGTGATGACAACGATACACAACGACAATTATAGGATGCAGATGCAGGGGCAAACTGACTTGTGGTACCTTGTGGCTGGAGGGATCCACCAGAAGAAGTGCTTCCCAGAGTAGAGGACCCTGACAGGGTGCCATAGTTAGAGGTAAACTGCTTCTGTGAACTCTGAACTGTAGCAGACTGACCGACAGCACCTTTTGTGGAGGATAGTGATACACTTGGATAGGACGAAGATCCAGGGGTAAACGGTCTTCTGGTCCCTTGAGGCTTGAGGGATCCACCAAATGGTGTGCTTCCCTGCAAGTAGAAGGGAGAAGAGGACCTTTCCTTGATGCCAGTGTTGCCTGTGAAGGTAGAGGTAAACGGCTTCTGTGAAGCTCTCTTCAGGAGTCTGTTAATGAATAAACTTGAGCCCACTTCATTAGGCAAAGTCCCAGAAGACTGGACTGCATGAGGTGAGAGAGTATTGTCAGAAGGCTGAACCCACTGGTGGGAAGCTTTTGAAGAAGCACCACCTGTTAAACAAAATAGAAGGCTCACAAGTAGAAATAAATAATACATCTAGCCATATGCCTAGAAAAAAAAATACCTTTAAACCAAAAGCATCCTTCAAAGAAATCAGGAGGATTACAAACAAGGGTAACCTACAAGTGCACATATATATAAAAATATATTAAATACATAACAAACTCAATAGTTTCAGAATCCTTTCCAAGCACAGATTGAATAAACTCACTTTTTCCACCTTTGCTCCATGGCAAATCAAAAAAAAAAAAAAGAAAGAAAATCCTGAGTACTCCAAATATCCCAGCATTTACTATTTCAAACTACTACTCAAGGGCTACTAATTCAAACATACATGTAACTGGAGATGTGTGTATTTTATAGGCTGTCATAGTCCAATTAGAGCAAATTGCTAATTACATAAACACTTTTCACCTGGGAAACTAACTGGCAGTGAAAAGATAATTGGTAACAATTTATTTAGTTGACAAGAACTAAGAATGAACAATACTTCTACAGTATGTATCAATCTTAATTATCTTCAACATTAACTAATACATTGTTAAAATCAAATCTTTTATTTGTTAACGTTATTAATGCAATGTGAACTAACATGAACAAACAATGAACAGCTAACTTTTTTTTGACTAACACTTACAAAGTACTAAACACTAAAAATAAATGCTGTAACATATGTATTGCTTGTTAGTTCACGTTGGTAAATAATACATTCACTAATGTTAATGAGACCTTATTGTGAAGTGTTTCCAGATAATTGTTTTATGAAGGCTCTGATACCCTCTGCTGTTGAAACATTGTAAAGCAGATAATTAATCCAGACTTTCATCTGATGTCTTGGACATTTGCATATACCCTTCACAAAATGTGCCTGATCACCTCAGGATGACCTTTATGAATTGTTTGTTTCGTGTAATGTCATAATGTAATGCAGACTTTGCAGAGGCAATTACTGATATATGGGGCACAAACATGTTAGGATTGGGCACATGCAGAAGGACAAAGCTCAGTTTATGCTAAATTGGGTGGAGTCTAAAAACAATCCTGTACATTTTCTTAATGTCTGACTTAGCATATAAAATAGACTCGGTTCAGCAAAACTACTATATTTTTCAAAATGTGTTTTGTAATTGAGAACCACTGTGGTTTGTAAAGTCCCTAGTACCCTGTTGTTCCAATTGAATCAGTACCAAAAATGACATCAGTCAATCAGGATGTGCATTGCTAAAGTATTATATTTGATTACTTTCATCATTTACACCACATCATAGTTTATTTAATGAAGTAAGTGGTCACATACATATTTCCAATATAGTGTTCATGCATTAGGATAATCGCTTCATAATGAATTCATGTGATATTAAGCACTGTATCACAGTAAATATTTATGGCACCAAAATAAATTATAATAAATACACTTCTTACACAACTATAAATTACACATTTTTATACAAAACATAAATTAACTAACAATAAGACAATGCATGAAAAAAATATATTGCTCAGTGTTTGGATTTCTTTAAATGATTTGATAGGGCCACTGTGCTTATCTATTCCCTTTTAATGCATTCTATGAACATATGGCTTCCTTTTATACTTTATGATACTTGTACTTCTAGATATGTAGTGAATTCATTATAATGATGAAAAAAAAAATCACAGAATACATTAAGCCATTATACATTAATCTTTGCACTTTTTGAAATAAATCAACACATGGTCAGAACACTGTTTGACACACTGAGCAACACACTAAAGAACTTGCACACTATAGTGTAGCGACGATATTAATACAATATTTTCATTACGACTTAGCAAAACTTTCACAATAAATAAATACCAAGAGCAGCAATGAAAAACAACTTTGTAATCCGTCAGTGTATACTTGGTGTACTTCATCAGAGAGATTGAGTAACATCTAAAATGTAGAAGAAAGATTCATAACTGATTCACTTGGATAGGATGAAGATCCAGGGGCAAACGGCTGCAGATAAGTGAATGAACAAGGACAAAAGCAATACTAATGTTTGGAGTCTCGGGGATAAAACTCAGCCAGAGTGCTCTGAGGAATCCTCTTCAGCATCTCTTTGGGGAAGATTCTCAAGAGCTGCCAGCCAATGTCCAATGTTTCGAACACCGTTCGATTCTCATATGCACCTGTGATACAAAAACATGTTAGGTTGATTCTGAAAATAATAAAATAGTACAACTCACAGAATTTAAAGGAGCTGTATGTAATATTGTGGCCAAAACTGGTACTGCAATCAGTTTCAAATTACTATAGAGTGGTGTATCTCCTAACCCTCCCCCCTGACTCGAGGTTCCCAGATAGGCAGCAGGTTCGTGATTGGTAGATCGGTGGAGGGTGGAGCATCAGACCAAAACACAACATGACAGCTGAGGACTGCAACTTCACTTTTTAAATGACAATATCCTGGCCGGCTACTTTTGTCAGTGATATAAGTATTTGAAATGAACATGATTTCTTAATGTCTAGTGACATATCAGGGGCATTTTATGATTATTTGAAATACATTTCTTACATACAGCTCCTTTAATTACATTTGATTAAAAAAAAAAGAAATGTACACACTATTTTTTTCTTCTTTATAAATGTCCTTTCACACCAAACTTGAATAACAATGCATTCCTAAAAAGCTATTCACACCGGAGTGAACATACGCCTGACAACAAACTAAAGTTTTTTCTTTCTTACAGAATTGACAAATAAACTTATATTTGTCAGGTCATGTGACCATGACATCTCAACATGCCAATAAGCATTAAAAAATAATACAAAGATTCAGAATTATTTGAAAGTAATAAAGATAGAGAATGCAAGCATTTGGTATGGTATTTCAAGTGTTGGTTTGAAAGGGCCTTAAAGAAACAGTTCCCCCAGAATAAAATATTCTGTAATAATTCACTCATCCTCAAGTTTGTTCTGGTGAACACTAATGGGGACCAAAAATGGTTTGGTTACCCACATTCTTCAAAATATCTTCCTTTGAGCTCAACAGAACATAGAAACTCAAACAGGTTTAGAATAACCGGTGTGTGAGTAAATTATGACCGAATTTTTGTTTTTGGGCGAACTATCCCTTTAACATAAGATTTCAGACATCATTCCACAGGTGCCCTCTTGTTGTTACTTACCCTGTGCAATAAAGTTCTTCTCAAATTTCTGTAAGAACTCCAAGTATAACAAGTCATCTGATGTCAGTGCTTCTTCACCAACCACGGCCTTCATTGCCTGCACATCTTTCCCAATAGCATAGCAAGCATACTGCAAAAGAGGAGTTGCTTTGTCACAGACAAGTCAAATTAACTCAAAACATTAGATAAATAAAATAAACATTTGCATGAAAGAGACCAAGTGCTTTGGTCATAATACAGGTGTTGTTCTTTCTTCGTTTCTTTACAATTTACAATACCATTCAAATATTTGGGATTTTTTAAAATAATTTTCATATATTTATTTAGCAAGGATGGATTAAACTGTTCAAAAGGGGGAAAAGCCTTTTCACAAAACATTTCTATTTCAAATAAATGCTGATCTTTTCGAGCATTCTATTCATCAAAGGATCCTAGAAAAACTGTTTTTAACATTGATAATAATAATAAATGTTTCATGAGCATTAAAGGAGAACTCCGGCGAACAATGAACCTTTGGTCAAATAAAACATCGGTACATAGTCAACCGTTCTCTGAGATTTGTTTTCATGATAGTCGAATGTAAAGAGTTTTATCTCTAAAAACTGTTTAGCGTATAATGCTAGTAATGGGGGCATTGAGTAAGTAAAAAGAAATCGCTAGTTTATACCACTAACAAGGCTCAAAATAGCCCCACACTAACACAGTAACATAATGAGGCTCCATATATGCAAAATGAAGCACTGAGAACTTTGTAAGTGTACAGACTGTTTAATAAGAAGATACTTTATGAAGACAGTTCACTTCGCGTATACAGACAGGAGCCATCTTAGAAAATAGTCTCGATAAGTCAAACCACGAACATCGTGCTGAGTGATCTGAACTCTATGAAGTTCAACGAACTTCTGAACTGTATGAACGGCGTTCGGGGATCGACTTATCGAGACTATTTTTTAAGATGGCTGCTGTCTGTATACGCGAAGTGAACTGTCTTCATAAAGTATCTTCTTATTAAACGGTCTGTACACATACAAAGTTCTCAATGCTTCGTTTTGTATGTATGGAGCCTCATTATGTTACTGCGTTAGTGTGGGGCTATTTTGAGCCTTGTTAGTGGTATAAACTAGTGATTTCTTTTTACTTACTCAATGCCCCCATTACTAGCATTATACGCTAAACAATTTTTAGAGATAAAACTCTTTACATTCGATTATCATGAAAACTCGAAAAGAGAAGAGAAAAGAGAACGATTGACTAGGTACCGATGTTTTATTAGACCAAAGGTTCATTGTTCGCCGGAGTTCTCCTTTAAATCAGCACATTAGAATGATTTCTGAAGGACCATGTGACACTAAAGTCTGGAGTAATGATGCTGTAAATTCAGCTTTGTCAGCACATAAACAAATTAAAATAGAAAACAGGCATTTTAAATGTAAATAATATTTCACAATTTTAGTGTTTTTACTGTATTTTTAATCAAATAAATGCAAGTCTTGGTGAATATATGAGACTTCTTTCAAAAAATATTACAACCCCCAAACTTTTGAACAGCAATGTCTGTTTATTCATACTTACCAACTGATTAGAAACATCTGAGTGGTCTTTGCGTGTCATTCCCTCGCCGATGGCTGATTTCATCAATCGAGACAAAGAAGGTAGTACATTGATAGGAGGATAGATCTGCATAGAAATAGCAATAGTTTGTAAAAACAGCACATGAGATTTATTAAAGTATAGCTCACCCAAAAAAAGCAAATTCTGTCATAGTTTACTTAAACTCACGTTGTTCCAAAGACTTATGGAAGACTTATGTTCATCTGCTGAACACAAGAAATGAGGATATTTTTACTACAATCTGATTGTTTTCTGTCCCTCCATTGACAGCTACGCAACTAATACTTTGACTCTTCAAAAAGTTCATAAAGAGATCGTAAAACTAATCCATATAAATTGAGTGGTTTAATCCAAATTTTCTGAAGAGACATGATCACTTTATATGAGGAATAGATTGAATTTAGGTTTTTATTCACATATAAACATTTGAGCAGCACGTTTGAGCTTCGACTAAACCACTCAATTCATATGGATTAGTTTTACAATCTCTTTATGAATGTTTGAAGCATCAAAGTGGTCGTTGCGTAGCTGTCAATGGAGAGTACAGAAAGTTCTCAGATTTTAGTAAAAAACATCTTCATTTGTGTTACGAAGATGAATGAAATTCAACACGAGGGTGAGTAAACGATGCCAGAATTATCATTTTTGGGTGAACTATCCCTTTAATGAAGTATTCAACTAATGTTCACACTATAAGCTTGTTTCCATCACTTGCCTGTCTGTTATGAAGCTGTCTGTCCACATAAATTTGACCCTCAGTGATGTAGCCAGTTAAATCCGGAATAGGATGGGTAATATCTGCAGATAATAGTAAGCAAGCCATTAAAGTAGTAAGCAAACCATTTATGATGATATAAAGATTAAAAGTGAGGTAGATGTTTGCTAACCATCGTTGGGCATAGTGAGGATTGGGATTTGAGTGATGGAGCCATTGCGTCCCTCCACACGTCCAGCCCTCTCGTATATCGTGGCCAGATCGGTGTACATGTAACCTGGGAAACCACGTCGACCAGGAACCTCTTCTCGAGCCGCAGAGACCTTCAAGATGATGATAAAGTTATAATGTATATAATGTTATATCATGCTCTATAATGTATAGCAATGAGTAATGGGGTCATTAGGCTGTCATTATAAATTCACATATTATATCATACCTCTCGTAAAGCCTCGGCATAAGAGCTCATGTCAGTCAATATGACCAGCACGTGTTTCTCACACTGGTAAGCCAGAAACTCAGCTGCCGTAAGTGCAAGCCGAGGGGTGATGATGCGTTCAATCCTGCAACAGGTATATCAAACTTTTAGGTCCAAGTTGCTCCAAAAAAATAAAAAATAAATTACACACATACATATATATATATATATATAGAGAGAGAGAGAGGTATATATAAGTCTTATCATGTACTCACATTCATGTTGTTCCAAACCTACATGACGTTTTTAAGGATTGTACTTATTACTCTTCTGGAATTCATTTAGTTTTGGTCTACTTGGAATCATTTAGAACACAAGTCATATAGAATGACATGAGGGTGAGTAAATGATGTCAGAATTTCATTTTTGGGTGAACCATCCCTTTACTTTCAAGAATATTCGAGAGAATACTGACGTGGGGTCATTGGCCAAATTTAAAAAGAGGCACACGTTGTCCATGGACCCGTTCTCTTCAAAATCAGACTTAAAAAATCTTGCAGTCTCCATGTTGACCTAAAGATAAAACTAATATCATGAAGATATCCCACTGATATGAATGCATTTATTCAGATTAAAAACTTTTAATACGATGTGCTCCTCACCCCCATGGCAGCAAACACAATGGCAAAGTTATCCTCACTGTAATCCATCACATCTTTGGATTTCTTCACCAATCCCGCCTGACGACAGATCTGTGCAGCAATCTGGGAAAAGAAGAAGGAAAAATAAAATACAATCAAGGATCAAATGTTAGGTAAATTAGACTCAAGTACTCAAGTTCTTAAATTAAAGCAGTCAAGCATGAGAAGTGGACAGCAGCGTGTAAGTGTATTTGTTTGAATTTCTCATTTGATTTAAGCACAGTTGTCATTGCTAGGAAACATTGTTTTGTATACTGTTTTTACTGTGTTTACCATTTGTACTTATGGAATGTTGATTGGTTTTTCAGTTTCACTCAGTTAAATACTAAGGTGTGGCCAACTAAATTCAATAATGTTTCAGGCAGGTGCATTTGAAATAGAAATCTGTTGTAACATTATAAATGCAGTTAAGGTCATTTGAATATATATTAAAAGCATTGTTGCTGTATAAAAGAATTAATTTATTTCACGAAGCACCCCAAAAGATGGACTGACATTGGCCTCACCTCATTGTGGGGTAGACCAGCCGCTGAGAAAATGGGAATTTTTTGTCCTCTGGCAATACTGTTCATGCCATCAATGGCAGAGATGCCGGTCTGGATCATTTCCTCAGGATAAATACGACACTGAGGATTAATCGGCTGACCTGCAGGAAGCAGGAGGGAATTTGATGTACATATTTCATCAATATATATTATATATATATATATATATATATATATATATATAAACCAACAAAATCTAAAAAAACAATGATGACAATTTATGAGCATAATAGCTAATGTGGTTCATCACAGCCTCATTGAAATGTACCCATGATGTCCAAGTAGTCCTCCGCCAACACTGTAGGTCCTCGATCAATCGGCTTTCCTGATCCGTTGAACACACGACCTGTAATAGACTTCAAGTTTAACCAAATACACATAATAAAAAACACCACATGGCTTCAAAATGCCTCTTTTTTGTTATTACCCAGCATATCCTCGGACACAGGTGTACGCAAAATGTCCCCTGTAAATTCGCATGTGGTTTTTTTGGCATCAATACCAGATGTTCCCTCAAACACCTAAAAAATGAAATGAGATGCTACAGATCATATTACAAAATGGGGGGAAAAAGTAAAAATGTCTATTGTCTATAAAAAGTAAAAAAGTCTATTTCAGAAGGCGTTATTCCCTTACCTGAACCACAGCTTTAGAACCTGTGACCTCCAGCACTTGTCCACTCCTCTTGGTGCCATCAGGAAGCGTCAGATGGACAATCTCAGCATACCTGGGGAACTGTGCCAGACAGGTAACCAGTTAATATTGCATCAGAAACATCAATGTGATCCAGTACTTTCCAAACACATTAGCTGATGCTTGCAGAAATCCAATACCTTCACTTGATCCAAAATCACCAGGGGTCCATTAACACCAGCCACGGTTTTATATGCTGAGCACACAATAAACACGAATGTCACAACACAAGAGTGTTTTCATAGTCTAGATCAAATCACAAACACAACTAATGCACGCAAATTCAGCATAAGGGGTTTCTCTTAATTACATTAAGAGCACTGCATTAAGGAAAACAAATACAGTAAAAAATAAAACACATCACCTGATAAAATATGACATCATGCTATGGTCAAAGTGTCTTAAAAGAAAAAATAAAGAAAACAAATGAGAGTGTGTCATTAATATTATATGAAAACATAAATAACAAACATAACTAACAGATACTCACAATTAGAACATAAAATGCCTTAGAAATGTGTTCTTAAGAAATAATTATATATTTTATCTTTTAACTAAAACAACTTAAACTAAAATAAGGAATGAACATGTTTAAATATTTTTAAAGCTCCTTGCATATTTTGACCATCAATATGCATCTGATGATGCGGTCATCTATGGCCAGCCATTTTAACATTATTCCTCACAACTAGGCTAACTATTCCTATTTTTAGTACTTATTTAGCTTATTAAAAAACAAAACAAAAACAACAACTAGTAACCAGTAGGGGTGTATGAAATTGACAAAAAACGATATCTCAACATTTTCTGGGATTTTATTGATGACGATAATTAGACGATATTTTGCTCGGTGTGTTTATTGTGTTGGCACCTTGTCAGGTTTAGAACTGCAGTGGACAACTGACTCTTAAAGTCTTTGATATTGCTCTGTTCGCAGTAGTGACAGACAGAAATTATCTTTTGAAATAAGTTTAAATTGATTTTTACCTTTTATAGGTTTTTTAAACTAATTAAATGTACGCATCATCATTTGTCGAATTCTTACATTAATAAATTCAATTAGAATAGTGAGACACAATAGGGCTTTTACCATAGATTGTAAAAAAAAATATATATATATGGATGTCACCCATATGGTTTCTGAAGAGCATTTTTGAAGCCCAAAGAGGACAGGGCTGGCCGTCGCCATCTTGGTAGCATGTCACCACCTATGGTCACCACTAGTCACTCCCGGATTAACGAAAAAGGGCAAAGAGGCGGGATTAGCTGAGTTTTCATTTCTATGCAAGCATCCCAACAATTACCTATTTTATTCTGTTTATGTCACTTTCAGTGTCAAGTCTATTTTTTATTTGGTATTGTACATAACATATATATATATATATATATATATATATATATATATATATATATATATATAATAAAAATATGCCCATATGATTGAATTTATTGATGTGAAAAATAATATTTATATAATTACTCATTTAAAATATATAATATTATAAAACGGAATATAATTTTCCTTTTTTGGTTGAAGTTTTTTTTCCCATTCGGTAGGTAAAAGTTATATATGTTATTCTGGAAGTAATGAAAAAAGAACTAATAGCTATAGGAATAGCAGTCTAAATACTGAAACGGCTTGCCACTCCATCACGATGCAGAGCCTACACGCATCAGCCTAAATCCTGCATCATGTTGATTTATTGACATCTAATGTGACGAAAATCCAAACAAACAATAATTCATTTTTTTAGATCATGCAATTAGAGGTAAACAATATGCATTAACAGGGAATATAACAGTAAACTGACCCAAGATTATTTACCTCACTGCAGAACGTTATCATAAATACAACATCAGAAATGTTATAAGTCTACAGTTGAAAATAACATAATGATGAGCAGATTCAGTGTAACTTAAATTCATTCATTCGTTGCGCCATAACACACATCATTGTATCGCTCTAGTGGGGTTCTGTTTGTAAGGGCCCTTCATAGTCAGCACTGGACACTCACTCAATCTCGGCTGAGAAATGTAGTCACGAGTCACGGCAAGGACATTTTCCCGAACGGCGACGTGTTTGGTTCCGGTAACCGCAGATGATATTTCGCTGACAGCTCCGCTCACCATTCCCCTAAGAGCCTTCATGATGACTATAGCCTAATCCTCAAAAATCACTACAGGTCTGAAGCTAAGGGTGACAACACGGCTGCACATGCGCAATAGTGCTTATGTGTTTCTCTCCTCTCCCCTTTTCAAAACCGACGCAGTGGACGACGACGCCTTCTAGAGGTGAATGAGTGGTTGACACCATAGATATCATGATGTACTGCATATGATATGGGGAACATCAGGACTGTAAAATAAAGTGCTATCGGTAACTAATTATTTAGAACGAATAAGTAGAGACAAAACAAAACAACAGTATTAAAAAAAACAATTGAAAATAAAGAGAATTTGGTCTAAACTTCAACTTCACAATTTTTTGTGGCTCAGTGGTTCATGTAGGTTGTCTACAAACCAGAAGGTTGGTGGTTCAATCCCTGATTCCACCTGACCAAGTGTCAAGGTGTCCGTGAGCAAGACACCTAACCCCGACAAGCTGGATTGCACCTTGAATGGCTGACACCGCTGTCGATGTATGAATGAATGAGTGAGTGAGTGAATGGGTGAATGTGAGGCAAATGTAAAGTGCTTTGGTGGCCATTGAGTCTGTGAAAGCACTATATAAATGTAGTCCATTTACCATTACCATTTAATTAGGCTACTTACAAGGGGGACGCAATTGGGGTAGTGGGGTAGAGCCTCAAAAGGACTGGACTAGAAGGACAAGGCCTCACTAAGATGCAGCTTTCCGTTTGAGAAGCACCTTTTGATGTGTATTTGGTGTGGGAGTGGCATAGGTTTGTTGTCTTCATAAGTCATAATTATGTCATAAATATCCTAATTAGGTTTTTTTAAGTCAAAAAATTATAAAAATATTATAAAAAAATATCAATTAAGTGACTACAAATGTTTTCAGACTGTAAATATAGAGTTTGGTCAAGAAACTACAAAGACACTTCTTTGAACAATGATATATTAAAGCTTTAAACCTAATTGAAGATTAAATAAGTTATGAGAATTACTAGTCCTTTTATTTATTCTGTTCTTTCTAGGTCATCCAGATTTTTTTCATTGTCATTTAAAGTCGAAGGATGATTATTTTCAATTAGCCTGTAATTCCAAAAATCCTGGTTTCATACTGAAGTTCCACCCTGGTGCTCCCTCATAAATGATTCATATGGGCTCATACAATGAAACTCTGCAAATGACTAATATCTGGATTTTGTCCAGATGCTTGTGAATAAATCCCATCATACATCCATGACCTGGACGAAGGATAACTTTCAGGCCTAATTGAAGAACTTTAGCAGGGTTGTGAGCAGAATGCCATATAATCCGGTCTAGTAGCTACAAATTGTGATACACAGTCAATATCACAAATGAGGACAACGGGGACAAACTTCTTTGTCTAACACAAGGCCATTTTAGCCATCTGTGAGATAAAAGTAAAAAGAGAGTTAAAGCTAGAGGAGAGGAGCATGACTGAAAGAGATTTGAGGAAGATAATTAGCACGTCTTGCTGGATTCCATTTTTTGAACTTTCACCAGTACACAGTACATACACAGAGATGGCGTTTTTTATTACTCAACAGGCGAGTAAGGCATTTTATTGAACAGAAAAAAACACATATGTAGCTCTTTAACAGAGTTCATCGTAAAGCATTTGTTATTGTGGAAGGTCATATTCACCCGAAGCACAACCAAAACAATGTTCTTCCACAAAATCCATTTTTGATTTTTAATCACTACAGAGCAAAAAGTTACATATTGTACCTTTAACTGTAAACCAATGGCAATCTACAGTATAATATAAGGATGACTCCTCATACAGCATAGCCAAATCTGCTGTCATACTTTGCAGTGCTGTTGCTGGTGTTAGAGGGTGGATGCTCAGTTTGGGTTTGGCCCACCTGGCTGTAGGCCACACCTGAACGGAAGCTGGAGATTCGGCTGGTAGGACGGCTCTCAGGCGCAGGAGCATCCTCTCTTTAAAGACAAACAGAATGTCTTGTTATCATCATCATCAACTTCACGTAATTGATGGAAATGGTGGGATTCATGTAGGAAAATGGAGGGGTCTTATCACCGTATCTCATTGGAAAAATCTTTCTCCTGTCGATTCCTGTTACATCTGAAGACGAGGAGCCATATAATGAGCAGGGCAATCATGATGAGGAGTAAACATCCAACAACGGTGCCTGTGATGACCCCCGCTCTGTTAGGAGCTGTGAAAGATTACGATTATTAAGGCTGACCATTATGAATAATCAGTTAGCACCAAATCACTGGAGTGTGTCTGTGCGCTTCACATACGCTTCACGGCTTGAAGTTTAAGCCGACAGCTCTCTTTCCCAACAGAATTGGAAACTTCACAGGAATAGACACCGGAGTGGCTTAAGGAGTGGTTACTGATTAGAAGTTCTCCTGTGAGGGAGTCTAACGTATAGAAAAAAAAAGAAAGAAAAAAACATGCATTAAATCCCAGTAATTAAAATAAATGTTAATGTTAATATGTTAATATAAATGGGTACAAATCCTCCAAAGAAATTAATTGACAATACATAATAAAAGTAATGACAATTAAACTTTTCTTCTAACTACATTTCTGTAATGCTCTATATTAATACTTAATTTATAAATACAAATAATAGTTAGGTTTTTCTCAGATCTGATTTGCTTTTATTACCAATTGATGAGGCTTATATAATCTGTTTGAAATAAATATATTATATAAGCCTCATCACTACACTTTTGCATTAGAAAATAAATTCATAAAAAAAACTTCAGCAAACTTAAAAATAAAGGGTTAAAAAGGGTATTTTTCCACAACAATGCAATAGAAGAACCAATATTGACTTCCTTGAGAACCCTTTTGTGATCAGTTCTATATATATATATATATACTTTGTATATATATATATATATATATATATATGTATATAAATAAAAGACGTAATTTAGCTATCAAAGGCATGGTTTACATACTACTTTGGGGAGTCAAAACGGTTTTAAATCACTGAAGAAAAGCAGCATTTCATTACAAAACATTACCACCAGAGGTAGCACTAACTCTGAATGGCGTCTTGAGGAATGGGACCTCCACTCTCTCTCCTCCATGAATACAGCAGAGGAGCAGAGCCTTGATCCGATCTGCAGCGGAGAGATGCTGTCTCACCCACAGCTTCACCAGCATCAACCCAACACTTTGGCATGGACGGCCTCACTACCACCCAGAGAGTCAAAACACTGTTATTCTCCTATTCAAATTCAAGACTGTTTGAATTATTGCATTGTGTAGATCTGTAGGGAGCCGAAAGCACTGCTGAGAAATGGTGTATGGCTATTTTCCTTAAAGACTCTTCAAAGTAATCCTTTTAAAATCAAGGAGAAATCCAATTTTAAACAAACCACAAGAACTTGGGAACTTTTGTTGGAGGAAAAAATATATAAATCCAATCAATTCCACAAAGACAAAATCAAGCGCCACCCTACATTTTTTTTCTTGCTCAAGAAGCCATTTCACTAAACTTTCACAATAGAAAGATTATGGATGCAACTTCAGTTTAATGGCATCTTTACAGATTCCTCATAGAAAAGCTCTGTGTAGTATTCAAAGACTGGTAATACATGACATTACCCATCACAATCAGAGATATTTTCCGACTGTCCACCCCAGGCGCCTTTTTAACTTTGCACTGATACGTTCCAGCATGACTGACCATCAGTGAGGTGATAGATAGAGATGCATCTCCCTGGGCAGGGTCAACAGATGTGAAGTTCACACCTTTCATTAAAGCAGGGTCACCATGGACATATCTCCTTCCACCTGTATATGATATGATCTAATAGACAACAAATTTATATAACAGTTCAAGCTGATAGTTGTTTTTCAACACATATGTAAATCATCAGTGAGAGTCTGGTCAAAGCAGGGGCATTATATTTCACTGACATAAGCAGAGCCTTACGCACCATCTGGTCTTTTTTTGTGGTGTCTGGACTGACAACTGACCACTCAATGTCAAGCTCGCCGATGTCTGCTGGACTTGAGGTGTAGGTGCAGTCTAGTGTCACAGGTTCCCCTTGGGCCATCTGCATAGTTTGTGGTCCACTGGAGGTCACTTTCATTGCTACTGACACATCTGAAAAAGATTAATGTGCATCTGCTTGCAAAATTCTCTGTAGAGATGTTTAGTCATATAACGTTAATGACTATGCCAACCTAGAAGGCTCATTGATATCAGCTTCCCTTCATTTTGAATGGGATTTTAGAACAGTATATATATTTTTATGAGTAAAAAAGGCTGTTTAAGAAATGTTCATGTTTATTAAAACCCTATTATTATTAAATCCCTTATTATGACATAAAAGGTCAACATTATGAGATGCTAAATCATAATTATGAGATAAAGATCATAAGATCAGATACAATGCCATAATCATGACAAGTCAAACTTACAAGATAAAAGGTTATTATTATGACATAGAAAATGGAATTATGAGATAAAAAAGTCATAATTATGATGTAAAAAGTTGAAAATGAGATACTAAGCCATTATTATGTTGTTATTATACTAAGTCATTATCATGACAAGTTGAAATTGTCATAAACATCCTAATGCTGACAAGTCAGAATTTTGAGATGTAGTCATAATTATGACCAAAAAAAAACATATTTATGAGATAAAAGTCAAAACAATTATATAAAATGTCGTGGCAAAAAACTTTGGAATTATGGCATAAAAGTCATAATTATTACATTAAAAAAAATCAATTAAAAGTGTACAATTTTATTTGACTTTCATAATTATAACTTGGAATCTCATAATTGCAACAATTTATATTTTAGTTATAACTGACCAAAGAATGATTTTGTTTTTCTTATGTGACAGAAATGGGCATAATTACGTGTCACAGTCACACCTCACATATGATTACACAACTATATATTAGCTACAGTATATAATGACTACAGGGTAACCTTACATCTTTGTGGTAGTTGTAGCCGTTATTTAGAAACTTGTTATCAACTTTGTTATCAACAACAATGGTTCCAGGGTTCATATTTTAGGTATGACTGTGTAATTTTTGTTGTAAAACATGACTTTATTTGAAACATTAATTGAAAACTACTATTCTAATTTCAGAGGGAATCCATGGACCGAAAATGCAAACTGTCATTTCAGAAATACAAACTGACTACAAATGTTTTCAGACTGTAAATATAGAATTTGGGCAGCACACTACAAAGAACTATTTTCTTTGAACTATGATATATTGCAGCTTCAAACCTAATTGAAAATGAAATATGTTATGCGAATTACTAGTCCTTTTTATTATTCTGTTCTTTCTAGGTCATTCAGCTTTTTTTCTTTGTCATTTAAAGTCTAAGGATGATTATTTTCAATTAGCCTGTAATTCCAAAAATCCTGGTTTCATACTGAAGTTCCATCCTGGTGCTCCCTCATAAATGATTCATATGGGCTCATATAATGAAACTCTCCAAATGACTAATATCTGGATTTTGTCCAGATGCTTGTGAATAAATCCCATCATACATCCATGACTTGGATGAAGGAACACTTTCAGGCCTAATTGAAGAACTTTAGCAGGGTTGTGAGCAGAATGCCATATTATCTGGTCTAGTAGCTACAAATTGTACTGGAAATCAAGTTTGAAAGTTTTTGCAAAGAAACTTACTTGCTTTGAGAAACACGGCGAGCACAGTCAATATCACAAATGAGGACAACGGGGACAAACTTCTTCGTCTAACACAAGGCCATTTTAGACATCTATGAGACATAAAAGTAAAAAGAGATTTCAAGCTAGAGAAGAGGAGCATGACTGAAAGAGATTTGAGGAAGATAATGAGCATGGCTTGCTGGGTAGCATATTTTGAACTTTCAGCAGTACCTTGTGTTGCAGCAGCAGTTTTGTACATTCATGTTTGGACACCCTTTTTTGTGCCACTTCCTCCCATTCAGCTGAGTTAAGTTAAGACACATGCTTAAGCCTAGAAATGAAAAGAGACGGCAAAAAGAAACAATATTTTACACCAGCAAATTGTCCGGTCTTACTTTTCTATTTTAGTAACACTTTATAATAACTTCCCATTAGTTAACATTAGCTTATGGATTAACTAACATTACATAAAAATATGCAAGATATTTGTTTCTGTCATGAGTGGTTGCATGAAGGGAGATAAAGATGAAGTTCCAAAACGTAATTAAATGAAAGATAACACGAAGGGTAAAAAGACAGGCAGGGCAACACAAGCTAAAAGCAATGTAGACATGAGAATGAATGTGAGGGACCAACTTATATAGCAAACAAAAATGAGGATGATTAATAGAACACAGCTGACACAAATAAACTAATAATGAAGAGCGGGAAAACTGAATAAAGGAGCATGTGATGGGAATGAAAACAAACTAAAAGTCCATAATAAAGAAACTAAACTGAACTTAATGGTGACAGAACGCCCCCTCCCAGTAGGCGCAACCTTGCGTTGTCGTAGCAGAGGTGAGGGAGGGAAAAAGGGAGGGGGCTTCGGAGATGGCGAAGGAGTGATGACAGGAGACGGTGACAGAGGATTGATGGGAGGATGACGATCCTCTGGAGGCGATGATGGTAATAGTCCACACTCCACAGGCACAGACCCAGAGCTCTTCAGTACTGACAGCCCACGGCGGAGTCGAGGGAAGGAGGAGCTAAGCCGTAGTGACGACAGCTGGGGGACGACTGCCGGACACATGGCCAATGGATCCACAAGAGCAAACAGAGAGCCGATGGAATCAAGCCACATCGCTGACTCTGAAGACCAAGGCAATGGCGAAGAACGTCTGAGGCGTCGACAGCAGAGGTGTAAGCCGGTGTAATGGAGGACAGAGGCGACCCAGACGGAAAGGAGGAACAAGCTGCAGCCATAGGGGTGAAGGGATGGAGTGCAGTGGACGCCTTGCAAGTCCGTTGTGGAAGTGTTTTGACCACTGACCAAGGGGGAGCCGGCAGGACGAGGGAACTTGGTGAAGCCGAAGGTGAGAGGAGACAAGATGGAGAGAAGAGATCCGAGGCCAGAGGCGAAGCCGTAGGATCCTCTCGCACTGATACCGCTGGTGGTAACACGGCCTGCAGCTTGACGTCATAGCAGGGCTTCCACGGACACGGCGCAGGGCTGTTGACTTCCGGCAGTGGCGGGGCTGGAGGACTGGCTGAGCTTTACGGTTATGGAAGAAGAAATCTAGACAGAATGATGTTGCGTATGGCACAGTCTATGTAGGTCGATGAAAATAATAGTTCACAGTTTATACAGTCAATGGTACTGTTCCAAAACAGCAATGATGAAGGTACAAGATGGGATAGGGTGGGAGTCAAAAATTCCTTATTGAAGTCAATTAGCCATTTCTCATCGTCTGTAGTCACAACTCCCTCGTCCGCTGATGTTGTGGGCCCCTAGTCAGACTCACAATGGAGCTCCAATTCCAGGGCAAGGGTCAGCTCTGTCTTTTCTCCTCAGGCTCTGGCTTATGCGTCATGGCGAGGGTAGCTCTTTGTCTGCGGGGCGAATTTGTAACACAAATTCTCCACGGTCGATGATGGTGATTCGGGCTCTTGGTCTGGCTGTGTTCTGGATCGGGGAAGGATGCTCTCCAGCAATCTGTCCACACCTGAAAAAAGTAAGCTCGCCCATCGGGCGGCCATGGCGGAGACGAAACCTCGGGCGGCCACGGCAGAGACGAACACCTCGGGCGGCTACAACGGAGACGAACTTTCGGGCGGCCATGGTAGAGGAACAAGTTCAGGAACAGGAACCACCTTGAGAACACACCCCGACTCATGACCAGACCCCGGCTCAGGCACAGGAACAGGCACATACCTCGGATCAGGCACAGGACAGACCCCGGCTCAGGCACAGGAACATACCCCGGCTCAGGCGCAGGAACAGACACCGGCTGAGGCACAGGAACAGACACCGGCTCAGGCACAGGAACAGACACCGGCACAGGAACAGACACCAGCTCAGGCACAGACACCAGCTCAGGCACAGACCTCGGATCAGGAACAGACCCCGGCTCAGGCACAGGAACAGACACGGGCTCAAGCACAGTCCATGGCAGGACTGATGATGGGCTGCTCGGGCACGGCCTTCAGGATGGCAGCAGGCTGCTCGGGCACGGCCTCCGGGAAGACAGGCCCTCCTACAACCTCCACGGACCCCAGAAAACCTGGCCAAACGGCTTCCCGCACACGACTCTCGGGGTCCGACAGAAGGGGTTGCTGGAGACTTTGCCGTCATAGCCTCCTCAGTCTGACGGGCCCACAATGCAAAACATTGAAAAATGTTCATGCGAGGTTTCATCTCTCTGGTTCGGGAAATCCCACTACTGCTGGACCTTAACATGACTGAGTTGTTCTGTCACGATACCACACACAGGAAATGCACACAGGAAATGGGTAGATCCAATAACAGTCTTAATGGGTATCCGTAAATCATAAAACCGCTGAGTCATGGGAAACAGCTGAGTGCCATAACCAGTGGTGAATGCTGACAAGGATTGTGGGAAATGCAGTACCTAATGTGAATGACAGTGTGGGGGAAAAAATGACCTCTAGTGGTTACCCAAGGAAAACAAACCAGACACTGTAGTTTAACATCAACTAAGACTAAGAAAATGATTTGTGTTATTGTTAGTTCATGTAAACTAATGTGGTTAACAAATGTTAACAAATGGAACCTTATTGTAAAGTGTTAAGCATTAAAATATTTTTAGTATCACAAATTCCTCAAAATTACTCATCCCAAAATTAGTAATTCCCACTTTTTATAAAGCAATTCAATGGTGGTCTATAATTATTATGCATAGAAATAAAAACACAAAACCTGGAAAATATTACAACTGTAGCAAAAAGTCAAAAATTCGCACCTGTTGTGACACGAAGACATAACCAGCATTAAATGTTTCTTACAGTATCTACTTCCCTGCTGAGAGAGAAAAAAAAACATATTTGTTGTTTTTCTTTTTGTAACACACTCAATTCTTCCTCCTACACAATTTTGAGAGCCTGTAAACTCATTGTTCACCAAAATCTATCCTGTACCATGCATTATACAACACAAGACGAAACATTTTCACTGCTTTTATGTTGATCGATTGGAATAACTGGTTCTTCTGCATGTTCATCTGAGCAGGAAATAGGCCATGAAAACATAGATAAAATGGAATTATTCATAATAAACTTACAGATGGAGGGCCAGTTCATCTCTGTGCTTTAGTCCTCATGCACGTCACCTTCTGAATGGCTCCACTGTGAGAATACAAGTCACTTCTGGTATCAAGTGAAGGTGGTGCCATGGTGATGTGGTCCATGGAGACTGGTCTCAGGTGACAACTGGTTATTCCACTCAGAAAAACAAAGGACACAATAATAAGTTATTATAACGATTCAGTATACATGCAGGGCATTTTTTATTTTAGCAAAAATAAACAGTTTTACTTTTCTTGCTATGCCTTTTCATCCGCCTATGCAGTGGATGTCCATCTAAAGGTGATTTTTTCAAAATGTCAGTGAGGCTCCACACATCTTCATGAATATAGGCCACTGCAACCTTAGCTTTAAGAAATATACATGCTTGAATATTAAGACACCCATTAACATAATTTAAATGGACAACGATTACTTACATTTAAGACATTTAACAGCAGCTCAAGCTTCACATGTGAGGGTGCTATAGTCAACAGATGGCAGTTATGCAGTTCAGAAAGACAGGTGTCAAAACACAGTTACCTAGTCTATCTTTCAGAATTATCCTTCCTTATGACAACTAATAATTACATGTTCTAAAGTCTTGTTCCAAATTTCAGTAACTATTAGCTAATTCTTGTATTGTAATCGCCAACTATACCAGCACATCCTACTCCATTTCCATTTCTTCTGTCTTCTCGTGTATGGTATTATATCCTTTGATAATAAAATCTAGATTAGGTTTGAGCCATGTTTCCGAAATATCCGGTTTCTATGCTAACACATCAACATACCCCTTCTTGTCAATTTGCCAACATACTCCTAGCATTCCATTAAATTAACAACATTATAATATGCTTTGAGAAGCTGAATCTGCATGGTTAAGGTCAGCATGAATTTATTCCCATGACAAGTCTTTCATGTTTAGAAATTTTGCTGCTGCCTTAATAACTATTGTTTTAATCTTCTCTATTTTTGTTTTAGCTTGTTCTGAACACTTAATGACATATGCTAAAAAAAGCACCATCCTACCCATTGATATTCTGTAAAACTCCTGCAGTGGGAGCCAGGCACAAGGCAATCTGGTCTGGGAGTGTCGTAACTTTTTTTGACGGCTCTGGTCTGAATATCTCCCCCTGCAGTCACAGTGGTCCGCGTTATCAGGGCGAAGTGCGTTAAAGTAATAAAGTCGAACTTTAACCATTCTTGGCTTAGCAGATTCTCTGCAGGATAATCGAGGTGTTATATTCGCCTGTGCAACACATTCCCTCTGGCTATTTCATCAACCCGCTGCAGGAATGAGTGACGATCAGTTTGACGTAGTTGTCGTCGGCGCGGGCCTGTCAGGACTCAGCGCGGCTCGAAGGCTGCAAAAGAGAAACTCGCAACTCAGCGTGTTAGTTCTGGAGGCCAGAGGTGTGTCACACGCAAGAAAACATACTTTTATCATTGATATTCTCTTAAGTTAACAAAACTTGCACATGCCCACATGCATAGCTATGGAAAATATGAGGCTTTCTTGCTTTCTATTGGCTGCATACAGACCGTGTCGGGGGTAGAACTGTAAGCGAAAAGCTGCCTGCCGCGAATGGCGTTGACCAGTGGGACATGGGGGGACAGTGGGTGTCCAGGTAAGCTTTCGATGAGTGGTGATGATGATGATTCCATTTTTCAAGGAATGGTTTTAAATGTCACAGTTTGGGGAGAGTAGTAGACAACTCTTATTTGCCGAGAGTAAGGATGAGTGAGGCTCACACTCCACATAAGGAAAAAAAAACTTATCATGACATAAAAAAATAAAATAATCGAAATTTTGCTATGATAAGTTATGCTTATAAATTATGACATAAATTCAGAATTATGACATACCAGGTCATAATTACAAGATTAAAGTCAGAATTATGAAAAAAATCTAAACTCTTATGCCACAATTTTAACTTTAAGTCATAATAATGATTTTCTTCTCATGAATATGCATTGTGATAGTTATCATGCTACTCACCCTCAAGTTGTTCCAAACCTGTATGAATTTATTTCTTTTGCTGAACACTATATTTTGAAGAATGTCGGTAACTAAAAAGTTGATTGATAGTATGGAGAAAAAAAAAAAAGACTATGGTTTATATCATATGACTATGGACCTATCAACTGTTTGGTTCCATATTCTTTAAAAATGTCTTCTTTTGTGTTCAGCAGATGAGAGAAATTCATCAACTTGAAGTAATATATATATAGACACTGCGAGTGGGAATACAATTTTTCTTGCTAAAATCTATCTATTTATATTGACATATTATTTATGTATATTGTATTTAAAATACGTGATGCGTTTCCCAACCTGACATTCATTAAAAATAACCTTGTCCTGAGACTACCTTTATTATAAGTTTACTCTTGCTGGAATGTATGTTTAGTTTGGTTGTTATTTTCTTGTTACCCAGCATACAGCATGATCATATTGTGAAGAACAGTATTATTAATTTTTAATTTAACAGGGTTAAAACAACACACATTTGTGTAATTGGACCTTTGATTCAAAAGTTCCTGACTGAGATATAGCATTGTGACTACTAGCCCGGTCTCCCTATAGTTTGTTTTTGAGCTGTTATGATTGGAGCATCACAAAAGCTAGTTTAAGCCTACAAGCAGTAAAAGTGTGTTTTCAAGCAAGGCATTTATTCCGGCAATCCACTACCCAAACTCTTAGAAAAACACCCAGAGCTACTCTCAGAATCCACAGAGATCAATAAACAGCCGTTGCCTGGGGCTTTGAAAGCCTTCGCTTTAGACGAGGGAAAGCCGGACTTTCATCAAGTTACACAAAAGCTGATTTGAAGCAGGTTTCTGCCTTCAGACGTCTGAATGTGTGCAGAAACATGGTTTCTCGCAATTTACTTGATTTTCATTTTTTGTAGCTCGCAGACCCATGTCATGGAGCTTATTCGAGAGCTTGGTGTGGAGGTCTTTCCACAATACACAAAGGGCAAGAAGGTGCATCACGTGGGCGGCCCGCATGCCAAAATCTCAACGTATTCTTCTAGCATCCCATCATTCTCCCCGCTGGTCCTGCTGGACTTCACCCAGATTCTGTGGCGGGTAGGAGAAACAGCACAATCTCATATGGCAAAGTGCTGGTATACAATAGAATAATTATTTTGAGTAGTAGAATGTGACTAATAGCCATCATTTCATATCATAATGGATGAATGGATTTTGGTTCCATACGGAATTTAAGATGCATGTTTTCCTTATACGTACAGCCATGAACTTAAGCAATAGTTTTTAGATTTCTCAGACATGTATGGATGTATGAAAGCTTTTTAGCTGCTAATCCTAAGAGTACTAAATGATTTATATATATTTTGTTCACATCTGATTGGCCATTGCCTTCACACACTCAACAGATATGTCTGTGACTGGCTACAAAGCTCATCACTGCAAAAACATAATGTAAATAGAAACCCATGACGCTCTTCACAGAGCGCAAACACAAAGCTGCTTTCAACGTGAAGGCTATGTATGTTCATTTACACACATGTAGCTCACAGTGACAATCTGACACTCTGAAACGCTGTTTCATTTACTAAAATCATATACTGATTTTATTTCAATATATCATGCAGCCCTCACTGGTGTAGTAAAAGCATGCTTTCAAATGGATTATGTGTTTATATCCTAGATTGACTCTCTCACTAAGACCATATCAGTTGAAGACCCGATGAGCTCTCCTAATGCCGAGCTCTATGACAGCATGACGCTTTACTCCTTCATGGAAAAACATATCTGGTCCACACGTGAGTATTGTGGATTTCTTTCATATTCAATTCATTGCATTGTACAAAACAGTCCATTTACATTTGTCGATACTTATCTATCTGTCCCTGTGCACCCAACAGAGATAAAAGAGGAGATAGCCTTGTGTAGCCGTATCGTGTTCGGTCTGGAACCCTCTCAGGTGTCTTTCCTCTACTTTCTGATGTACTCCGCTGCAGCAGGGGGCACTCTACGCCTCCTGGAGACCACACCTGGATCGGGTCAGGAGTTCAGAGTCAAGGTGAGGGAGAGAGATACGATGGATGAACGACACAGAGACGTGACGGAGATAATTCTCACTATCTGACAGAGATAATTCTCAACGAAAGGAATTGCTGTCTCTCGATCTTCAGCATCGTTGCTCCTCTTTTTATGCTTTCACTCCTCCGTGAGAAATGCGAGACCGCTGCGTCTCACAGGTGATGTTCATTAACACTTACACCACCGGCCGTTCTCTCACGACTGCCGCTTGTGTATTTATTTTAAGTAGACTCCTTTGCAAATGGCAACATCTCTTACCACTGCTCCATCTGTTTTCCTGAAGCCAAAATACTTCCACACCCATGACTTGACGCCGACTTGAGTGTGTAACATTTCACTTTCATTGCCAGCTCGCTCTGACGGTCCCACCGCTCTTGAAAGTCAGACTCAACAATGTGTGTGAACATTGATAGACTGTGAAACATAAGTAACGCGTGTGAAGCAGTGTAAAGTAAAACAATAATGAGGTTAGCGCCACCCGCAGCTTAGGAATAGGTTTTACGCATATGTTGGAGAGGATGCTGAAAATAGACAGGTGGCAAAATAAACACATTAGTGATTAATCGATACTCTTGCGGATGCATCGAATCCGTATAATCGATGGATCGATACGAATCGATTAATATTTACACAGTTACTTAAAAAGCACTGCTTTTGTAATAATTCAACAAAAAAGAAAACTTTTGTACTTATTTGACTTGACATTCCATAGAACACTAAAATACACAATTGTTGCATTATAACAGCATAGTGAGGCCTTTCAAGCTCCAAAAAGTACAAATAATACCATAAACATATTATAAAACGATTTTTTAATGTGGAATACTTTTCGCGGTTCCTATGGGTTTTTGGGGTATTTACAGATGTGGTCATTATGCATTGTTTTTGTATGAAAGAAAACTTATACAAAACTATACTTCTGTCTTGCACAGACAAATAAAATCTGAACATGAGTTTGGAATGACATGAGGTTGAGAAAACATGAAAAGGAATATGTGTGTGCTTTTTCAAAATTGCTTTTTCTTTTTTAAACAAATGTCTGTTTTTAAATAAATTCTATTATAATTCATTTTCTGAAGGATAAAGAAATTAATCTTAACTAATGCTGTAAACTATTGTTACACGTACGTCTTGTATTTGCTCTTGTGTTCAGTATGTTAGTTCTGCCCTCTGACCTAGTTTTCCCCAGTCTGTTTAATAAGTAATTTCGTCCACCTGTCGTCCATTAATTAAATCATTAGTTCTCACCCATTCTCTGTTCGTCCTCGTTTGAGATAGTGTTTAAGGGGGCTTTCACACTGGCAGTTTAGTTTGGAACGGGGCACGGTTCGCATGAAAAAAATCACAAAAGTGAACGCTGTCATGGGACCCAGGTGCGCAGTGGGGTGACCTGAGTCCAAGACTACCTGAAGGAAGTGGTCTGAGTTCGGTTGCTTCCGAACCTTGCCGCGGTTCGCGTGAATGCAAAAGCAACACGGATTCGGGGGCGCACTTGTTCAGGAAGTAAAGTATCCTGCACATGCGCTTACGTATTGTGATGTATTCAGTTAAATAAAACACTTGTAAAGGATGACAGTGTTGATGATTTACCTCAGATACGAGCGAGAATGTGTATTCATGCATTGTGCGTGGAATCAGAGCAACACATTTGGAAATCTCCTCAAAAGAGTCCGTTTGCAAGCAGGAGAAGTCCACCTTATGTGACACACGCACAGTAAACCTGTATTGTTCACTCAACTGCGCATAATAGCAGCAAAAAAAACTAAAAAGAACATGGAAAATACACGTTGATAAGGTAGAATCAAAATGCAAGAAAGTCATACATTTAATGGGAGCAGGAGTGGGGAAAGACTGTGGAGCAAAACAATAACTAAACAGTCATTAATGTACATAATACAGGGCTCTAATGAGGTCAACAATAGATTATGGATGCTATGTATATGGAGCAACAGCTAAAACACAATTACTGAAGTTGGGTAGAGTTACTACCAAACCATTGAGGATTTTTGCTGGGGTAATGAGATCAACACCAATTAAAGGCATTCATGTAGAATTAGGAGAAGTGGCCTCAGACCTGAGAAGAGATAAACTCTCTGTCTTAATAAATGCTTACACACTGGAGTCATTTATGTGGATGTGGATATGAAAATCATGCAAAGAGCATTATTCAGGAATGTTGGGAGTATAGTTCTTTTTAAGGCAATGGCTTTGGATGAGTAACAAACACAAAATTAGAGGAATATAGATTAATATTCTGGTTTATTAATCATGGTTTGTACTTTACAAAAATGTACTTTAAAATGCACATAAAGGCAGGTTTTTGCATTAACTTATAAATCTAATTATTAAGTACATTTTCTACTCCAATTCAGTTTTGAAATATAGTTGTTTTCATGACAAATTTATTTAAACATACATTAAATAATCAAGACATTAGGTTAAGTAAATATAATAAATATGGCTAATAGTGTGCATACAAAATGTTTCTCTCTAGAGAATTCATCTAGCGAAGTAACCTGCTGTTGTGTCGACACTAAATGCCCGAGTTAAATGTAATGCTACATTAGATTATTCTCTAGCCGTTTTATTGATATCTTTTCACAGTTGGAACACTCAATCATTTCTTCTTCTTGACATGAGCCGATTTTGTTAGTGCGAGCCCTGCACTGAGGCGGGCTGTGTTTGTAGAAATGAACACTGGGCTGTGGGCATTTTATTACACTCATAACACTATCGGCTGTGGCCGGACTACTAGAAAATACTACACTGCTTATACGAATTTATCTGGGTTACCTTAGAAATGGCATTTGTGTGCAGGCAAGCATTCGCATCGGTCGAGCACCCCTCCTCCTTTAGCTCACGCCAGCGAGCGAAGCGAAAGCTGGACCAATGTGTTAATCCTCGTCCTGGCTTTTAATTTGTCACTCTCCCCTTTTCTTTTTTAGTTTCCTCTGATAAATCCGTTGCCTTCTTCCTTGTAGCTGTTGTTCGGCATGACGAAAACATATGGACGGCAATCAAACGCGAGTTGAGCACTAACGTTAGATTCTGAGGAAATTGTGGGTGGTGGGGGAAGTGACGTATGCTGTAAAGCGGTCAAATTTTGTAGTTCTTTTTGTGCTCGGGTTCCTACCCGAAACCCGAAGTTACAAAGTACAAGTAAAAGCGATACAGACACCTTCAGGAGACGGCAGACGCGTCATTCAACCTATTGTACGTCGATTTACCATCTTAATGGGTTTTGGTAATATATTATAAAGGTTGAAGTGTTCCACAGTGTGGCTTTAATGAGAAATTGTAACAGAAATTCCTGATAATGATTCCTGATTGAGAAATTCCTAATAATCCTTTAGGTGAGTGTATGTATATTAATATAATATGTATATAAATATTAATATCATTATAAAAAAATAACGATAAATAAATCAAGTTTAAACAAACTCTCAAGTGGCTGAATAGTGTAGGTTGGAACTCAGCGATAGTATCAGATAGCAGCAGTTGCTGTAGGTGAAAGGGTGAAAAACAGCGCATTTTAAAAAGCTTTTATCTTTTAGTCCTCTTTTACCTACATTCTGCCAGCACTGACTGCCTTGTTTATCTCCCTACCAGATTAGGTCTATCTTTAACCTCCTAACCATTGAGCACTGCATACGTTTACTGTACTGTATTCCTCATTGCGTTTTTCAGCACACAGTCAATGCGATCTCATAGTCTCATAAAACAAAACAGATGTATCATCATGGCATGATACTCTTTGTACACCAGTCATTTCGAACATAATTTGTGGCAGAGGAGAAGCCCAGTGGAGCAACACCGACGTCTGATACAAGGTGTTGTGTGTTTTTTTTTTGTGCATTGAGAGCAGAATCAGTGGATGACCCTTGTGTGATGCTCATCTCTCTCCACAGGGAGGCACTCAGCAGCTGTCGGAGAAGCTAGCGGAGCAGATCGGAGCAGAGCGGGTTCGGCTGGGTGCCGCTGTAACCACCATATGTCAGGTAACAACTCCATCAGCGCAAGGCTTGACGCGGAGATAATGAGCATTTCTCCACCAGCGGTGCGAGTGATAAGTTCCTTTCCTTTAAACGAGATACCATCCAGATACCAAGGCATGGGTCCCGCTGTGTGCTTCTCTCTCTCTCTCTTGTTTTGCACTGCCTCTTCCTTTTCATTTCTGTATAATGCACTGCTGTACGCTGAAGTGCTTGTCATGACTAAAATATTTAGATAACCTAAATCAAATCCACTCCATTAGATCGTTCTCATTTGAGAATTGGTGACACAAAATCTTTTGAAAGCCTCTCGTCAGGGAATTAGCCTATAATGTCGCTCTCACACATAGAGAGGGAAAATCCATTAGCCATCTTAATGGTGTTACATCGACATGGCTGAGTAGAAAGTTTTACTCGCTCTTCACTGTTTATCAAACCAAACGCATTGACTTCTATCGATATCAATTAAGTGAAGTGGTGGTCACCGTATAGCACATGTGATAATAAGTCTCCATTATTCAATAGAGACAAAAGCCCCTGCAGCAGCCCCTTTTAGTATCTGAATATAGTTGGTTACTTGTACAATCAAAATAATCCTCTATAATTAGTGTCAAATATAATTGGCGGTACCATGTATGAGATTTCACTGAAATAAAAATCACACATCGGGAGCTCTGTAAACAGAAAAGGGCTCACATTTGTTTAGCTAATCAGAAAATTAGTTGTACTAAAAATTATATAAATTAATAAATTATTTGTGTATAAATAAAATATTTTTGTCATTTTCTACTTTTAGTTTCCTTTAATTTCTCATTTCTTTAGATTTTAGAAGACTTGTTATACGTATGAAGATACAACCTAAATGAATGTGATGTTGGTTCTCACATATATTTTTCTATGCTATGAACACACTACTGAAACTAGTTTGGGATCTGTAAGATTTTTTTTTTAATGATTTTATAAGAAGTGTCTTATGCTCATCAAGGCTGCATTTATTTGACCAAAATTACAGTTGAATAAATTAAGTTTAATTAAAAATATGTAAATGTATTGAGAAATATTATTACAATGAAAAATTAAAAATTTAATTTTCAGAATCATTAAACATTACATACATTTGATATACTTATTTGCTGCTCAAGAATTGAATGAACGAATAGAACGTTAAATATTTTGTAACATTTTGCATGTCTGTTTCGATCAATTTAATGCATCCTTGCTAAAAAAAAAGTATAAATAAAATAAAAAAAATAAAATAAAAAAAATAAACCAAACGTTGTTATTACATTATATAAAAAGATCAATCAGTAAAGGCTTCTTTTCAGTTGCATGCATTACGTTTTGAAGAGCCGTCTATTGAATTTCCAGAGCTCTGGAAAAATGCTGAATGTATGTTGGATCCAGCAGTATAAAGACCTGTTAAATGTGCCCCCCGTCCCATAGCCAAGGATATCGTTTATCAATGTCCTTTACAATGATTTCTATCTGCAGCACCTCTGGGGGTCGTCCATACTGTAACAGCCTGTATTTATTTATATCTCAGTCTGGCCAGCGGTGAGATCTGTTGGGGGAGAGCTTTATGATAGATGGCAATATAAATAATATAAAAATAAAATAAAATTGAATAAAGAATTGCACTATTTTCTTCTTTAGAGCTGCTTATATCTAAATTGAACTCATTTTATGATTGAACTTTATAAAGTCATTGAACTGAACTGACTTGAGTTTAATAATGATTCCCAAACCGATTTTTGTGCATATCAGAGTAGAATCCGATCATATTTAGCAAGTGTGAACTCTTTTTCCACGCAAAAACGAAAACATGTCAGACCTTGTTATAGGAAACATAATGAAAGTCTCTGGAGAAACAATTGTTGTTGCAAAGTGCCGGTCGAGCAGAAAATTTCAATATAATAGAGGCATGTTTTGAGAAAGCACATCATGTTGTATATAAGATACAACATCTGTTTTGCAAATCCCCTCCATTTTGCTGTTGTTGTTTCTACCAACGCAACGTCATTGCCATAGAAACCAATGCAGATATTCTGGAAAACGAAAGAGCGGCATGGGACACACAAATCCGATCTAAACAGTTGCGATGCAGAGTGTGGACAGCCAATAATGTAGATCAGATTCAAATCGGCTACACAAATAATCAGATTTGGATTTGAATTTGTCTCCTAATTGACGAAGTTTGCATCATTGAAACAATCTGCCATTGTATTAAAGGCTCTTGAAATATAGGTGACATGAGAGCCAGATATGTATTCTCCAATACATAATAACATGAATTTCTTGATAGGGATCAACAGAGTTCATTAATACCGTTATTGTGTGGTTGCCTACAATTTCAGCAGCCACATTGTGTCAGTGTCCTTGTCATTTCAGTCTAACCTCACAATACCAGACTGTTTTAGTCTTTGAATCAATTCTAATATGTTTTTCTCTTACAGGATTCAGAGAACATAAAAGTTACGACTTCTGCAGGCACAGTCACTTGTAAAGCCGTCATTGTTGCTTGTCCTTCTAACTTGGCAGGTTAGTGCACGTACAGTATACACACACGCCTATGTGAAACACAAAGTTCAAACAAAACAGTCTGTCGCATTGACCCCGAAACAGCCGTCAATCACATGCCCCCTGTAGTCTACTTCCTTCTGGACTGCCGCCATCCTGACTGCAAGTTTGGCTGCCACATTTTGTTTAACAGATAGTGTTGTGCAGTCTGTTGTGCAGAGTCTGGCGAGGACACTTTTAATGTGACGGATCTAAGGACAGCTCTGAATTACGCAGAGTGCCTGAACTGCCATCGTCCTGCTGGCTCGAAATCAGAATTCACGCATGGCAAGCTGACAGGTGACAGGAACTCTTAAAAACTGTAGACACTGTTAACTTTAGACAGCCGTCCAAAATGCATTCAACGAATAAATAATGAAGGCAGTGTGGCTTGAATTTAACCCTCTGGCATCTTCTCCTGTTACAAACTGAACAATTAAAATTCTAACTTTAAAATTTGTACTGGGAATCAAACTGTTGAAGCATCACACAAGCTGTATTGTTGGGTACACACACACACACACACTGTCAATCGATTAAAATATAGGGCTTGAATGGTTTAATCGACACTTTCCACATGCTCTCACGCCACACATCCAGTTTCTCATACTGAGAAAAAACACCGACAGACTAAACAGGGCAGGTTACTTTTGATATGAAACTAATTTCAGCTCTCAGATTGTAAATTTTATTACAAAATTCAAACAATAGCATTTTGGCCCTTGTAAATGTTACTTGTCAGATCAAGATTGTGGTCGTGAAACTGAGCATCTCTTACTCTTTACTAGTTAATAGTAAATAAATACGAATGAACAATAGGTGTGTTGAAAGATACAGTACAACTTACCGAAATGTTTATGCCTCATACATAATATCGATCAATCTGTGTTTTGTTTTTTTTTCAACCGTTTGTTTATTATATCGCAACGACGCAATCTTGACCTCATTAATCTTGATATGACAAAATAAAAAAACATATTTTTATATAGCATGTTAAAGTTGTAATTCTTTTAGTGTGAGCAAAAATCTACTGTTTTTGTGTCTGTCCCTTTTAATGCAAATTAGCTGCTACTCTCAGCACAGGGGGCGGAGCTTCAACAGCTTGTGTCCTTTTACCTCACACAGACATGCACTGAAAATGTGCAAACTTCAAACTATGTGCAAACTTCAAAATATGTTAAAAGAAGTGACAACATGTAGAATCAGGACATTTCTGAGTGGTTAGTTGATGAATTTGTTGCTTATGTGTAGTTATCTTCTACTCATTGATTAGCACATTCTGTCTTGATAATCTTGTGTTCAAGGGGGACGGGGTTTATGTAAATTCTAGGAGGAATGTGGTGTAGTCCCTACCAGCCGTTTGTTGTACAGTAGTAGTCCTTAATTTTTTTTCCAAAGCAAATATCTCCCTTTGCTTTGATTGTTGTAATTTTGCAGATGTTGTTTGTTCAAACAGCAACATTACAAGTCAAGTCAAGTCACCTTTATTTGTATAGCGCTTTTTACAATACAGATTGTATCAAAGCAGCTTCACAGTGATAAAATGAAAATAATACAACACAGATCAATAATATTGTTAAATATTAAATGTCTCCAACTAAGCAAGCCAAAATCCAAGGCAACAGTGGCAAGGAACCAAAACTTCATCAGGTGACTTAATGGAGAAAAAAAACCTTGGGAGAACCCAGGCTCAGTCGGGGGCCAGTTCTCCTCTGGCCAATGAAGGAACAGTATGATTACACACAAACTAAAGCTAGAAAAGTGAAATGATATTCAACCACCCCTTTAACAAAAAATAATTTTCTTTCTTTTCATGGAGCACAAAGAATATCTTAATTAAGCAGAATGTCCTTAGACAGTTTTTTCTACAATTAAAATTGACAGTGATTCAATATGCCAAGCTTAAAAAAACCCCACCAATCTCATAAAAGCTCCACAAATTAAGGAGGAAACTGTTAGGGATTTTTTTTAATTAAAAAAAAAAAGTTATTATATAACTTCAGAAGACTTGGGATGTAGCAGAAGTCGTCACATGGTTACTTATTTGAGGTTAGCATTTATAATTACCATCCATTCTGAAAGAAAGAAATTAATACTGGGAACTGAGGACATGATAAAAAAAATAAAAAAAATTAACTGAGTTTTTGGATGAGCTGTTTCATAAAAGGCTTATTTTCAGAAAATGTCTTTATTTAAATTAGTGAAATAATTGTAATATGCTGTAAATATAAAATTATTATCATTAATAATAATTAATTATATAATAAGAATTATACATTATTAATAATATAATAATATTTATGATTAATAATAAATTAATATTAATAATACATTAATAAATATAATATACATTTTAAAAACATGTATATAGTCGACGTAGTCGACGTTGACCGAATGGGATCACGGCAGGGAGCCAGTCATCGTTGGGTACTATTGAAACGAGCCAATGGAATTGGCTTGCGTGACTTGCATCACACACTCTGCCCCTGTGGCTTGGTATAAATACGGAAGTGGATGCATTGCAAGGAAGTGTGTCGGTGTTCTTCTGGAAGACTCTCTCCCAGTGCTGGTGGTTCTACAGCGCGAGTGCTGCGGCGATCGTTAGCTTCTGAGCTATCAACTGCTATCCATTTGCTATCTTATAATTTCTGTGTGTTTGTTGATGTTCAGTTGGAGGGCAAAGAAGTGAGTGCTTCAGTGTTTCAGTTCAGTGTTGCCGCGTTCATTCCCCTGTGTGCTCCAGCACTGGTGAATGGTCCCATTTTCTGAAAGAGCAACACAGGTGCATTTTTCAAGATGCCATTGTATCCGTGTGTTTCTGGATGCGGTCGTTCTTTGCCCCCTCTGATGGTCACAATAGTTGCATCACATGTTTGTGGAATGTCTATATACACGTTATTAACAGTGTTAAAGCAAACCCATTTTAACGTTATTTTATTAAAATTTATTTTAAATAAAATAGTGTTAATTTTTTATCGTGCATATATTTTTATCACACAAATATTAATTCATTATTTTTTTTTTTGGTATAACAAACTTTGTAGTTTTTTTTTTCGCATGCTGTTACAACAACTAGTAACGTTAGACTAGTACTACAACAACTAGTAACGTTAACTACAACACCACACCGGAACTAGCTAGACCAGAAACAAAACAACAGGCACGCCGCACACACTAGTTTGGGCTTACGTTTTGAGTGGATGGCGAGCGCGAAACGTCAAAATGGATGGCAATGCAGTTCTAAATGGAAAGTTTACATAAAAACAGTTGCCAAATGGTTCAGTTGACAAGACCAAAGTGATGTGTTTTGTCGTTGCAAACTGAGCTATCATCGCAGCACGTCCAGTCTAAAATACCACTTGATGGCCAAGCACAACGCTGACGTAAATTCTCTGTCCCCCCCGTCGAAGCCAGGCGACAATGGAGGACTTCACCCAGAAGCACATGGATACCACAACTAGGAACAAACTTACTGCAGCCATAGCTAAATGGGTGGCTACTGCATGTAGGCCTGTTAATGTTGTAGAGGACAAGGGTCTAGCTGATATCATCCACATCGCATCCAATGACAGGACCTACGAATTACCTTCGAGAGCCACCATTACAAGCCACTTACAGAAATTGCACGAAACAGAAGGCTAAGGTACAGCAGGTGTTGGAGGAGACAAAAGCAGTCGCGCTCATCTGTGATTATAGGACATCCCTTCGTAATCACAACTACCTCGGGGTCACATCCCATTACTTTGATCCACAGTGGAAACTTCAGTCGCATGCTTTTAGTGTTATAAAGACAGAAGTGAGGCACTTCGTTGACGCTGTTGCAGAGCAATTTATGAAAGTAGCTAAAGAGTGGCACAAACACAAAGTTGTCTCACTGACCACAGAAAGTGCACGCAACATGATTGCAGCAGCCAGTAAGCTCCCCTTTCAGCACATGCCATGCATCACACACAGTGTGCACCGAGCCGTCACAGATTCTCTAACCAGAAAGGAAAGCAGAAAAGTTGTGGTACTTTTTAAGCACAGCCCAGCAAACCAAGCAGAGCACGAGCAGCAACAATTCACACATCATCAGAAGAAAGAGTCTCTCACACAGGAAGTGTCAACCAAATGGAATAGTACCCTGCAAATGATCAAGTGTGTTTAGCGAAATGCTAAACCTCTGAGAGATGCACTGGGCCTGCACACAACCAACGTCGACATGCCGACAGCTACTGAGCTGGAGAAACTGAAGAAGCTCGAGGCTGTGCTGGAATACTGCAGGTAATGTATTGTGTATCCAGGTCGTCTGTTTGTTCTGTATATCTGTTTGTTTGATAATCAATGTAGGTCTGTGTCAGAATAGTATCATCAATGATTGTGTGTGTGTGCATGTGAGTGTGGTGAGTGAGAAAACTATGTGTATGTGTGTGTGTGTGAGTGTGGTGAGTGAGAGAAATGTGTCTGAACTTCACGATCCGGTGGTACGATCCGCACATTGCTCCAGGAGATTAAACCTGGACAGCCGGATAACCAAGTCACGTCTGAGCCTCCTACGAAGAAACCAACTCTCATGCTTGCACACGAGTCTTTGTCGGATGAAGAGGAGGGCACTATTGAGCAATGTCTGAAGCGCCACAAGGCAGAGCCTCTTACTGGTATGGATGACTGTCCCAGGAATGGTGGTCCACATATGAAGAGGCACACAGTGAAATGGCCCACCTTGCACACAAGTACTTAGCAACACCAGCCACATCAGTACCTTCTGAAAGGTTGTTTTCACTGTCTGGGCATGTTGTACAAAATAAGTGAGCTACCCTGTTGTCTGAAAATGTCAACAGGTTTGTCTGTCTGAGTAACTGGATCAAAGCAAAGTAGTAGTAGGCTTACCTTTTTATTGGTAATCAACTATTACTGGTCATTCTGTTACGAGGCTGTGTTGAAGAGCCTCTGGTGAATAAAGAGCAGTAGCCTGATTGCTATATTCTAAGTTCTATGTTCTA